AGTGGTAAGGGCCTTGAGCTGTAGGGATGAGCAAGGGGCGAACACGAATGTGTTCACGTTCGCCCCTGCGCGACCACCTTGCTTGGAAAGGCGATCGCGGACGTGTTCGAGGCAAACACGTTCGTGTTTGCCAAGGGACACCTTTCACTATAGTCACACTTTCAAAAAAGGGAATCTGACAGACCCTAAACTCATACTCCCTACTTTAACCGCAAGTTCTTCAAGGTTCTGCTATTCTGGTGACCACTAATGTAACCTACATCAATCTAAGATGTTGTAGTGAGGGTTCTAGGACTGCTAGGAAAGGGCGGTAGTGGGCGCTAAGGGGCTGGCGATTAAGTCGCGGATAGTTTGAGCTTAAAAAATGAGCTCAAACACCAAGGCCCGCGACCTAAAAATTGGTCGCGGGCCAATTCCTCGACGAACACCAACGTGTTCGTCGAAGCCCTGCGTCGAACACGAACGCGTTCGTGTTCGACGCGGGTCGGCCAGTTGACGAGGGCGAACAGCGAACACGTTTGAGGCGAACATTTTTGGGCAAAAAAAAAACCCTGTTTGGTTCGCCTCGAACATGAACAGGTGTTCGTATCTGTGCTCATGACTAGGGAGCGTTCGAAAGGATGGTTTTCTTGCCTCTCCCAACACTCCATATCATAGTTGTTTCTGTAACCATAACGACTGTTGATAGCTTCTATTGATTTTTAAGGTTAAAATAAACTCCATTGCAATGTTTGGCCATCCTTTGGAACGCATGACCCTCCCTCCATCTCCATTCTCCTTCTCCCTCTTCCCGTGATGTTTTTCTTCTACGTCTACCAGGCATGTAATGCGAATCACTTGAATGGAACCTTTTTACCCTCTCTCGGGCCCTTACTCAGCTTGCAGTGTCTGAAAGTATTGTAGCAACAATATTTGGAATCCAAGCCATGATTGGCTTTCGGGTTGACAACATTGAAAGAACCGCATGGCTAGTTGCACTACCTAATCAACTCAATTTCATCAATATCACTTGTGTGTGCTTGCTTTCTCTCTGGCCATGTGCACAAGTCTCATATCTTTCACTTGTACCGACCTACCTACCCACACACGCAGGGATCTCTCGAACAACGCTTTGACGGGCTCCATTCCCAACAGCATCTCCTATCTTGGTGATCTCCTTTATGTGTACGAAACACCTTTCCTATGTTCATTGGCTCGATATGAAGCAACTTGGTTAGGCCTCGTGCTATGCATGAGATGAGTGGTAAGGACCTTGAGCGGGCTCCTTACTGATTTCAGCTCGTGTTAAAAAAGTGGCTATTGTCACATATCACAGCTGTTTCTAAAACCAAAAAGACCATTGATTGCTTCTGTTCATTTCCAAGGTTGAAATATTGTCCAATGCAATAATAGGCCAGCCTAAGGAACGCACGACCCTCCCTCCCTCTTCATTCTCCTTCTCCTTCATCCCTGGCTGTTGTTCTTCATCGGCTGTCAGGCATGTAGATGATGAACTACTTGAATGGAACCATTCTGCCCTCTCTCGGGGCCCTACTCAGCTTGGAGTGCCTAAAAATATCATTGTAACAGTTTTGTTACATCATAACCATGATTGGCTTTGGGGTTGACAACATTGAAAGAACCGTATAGCTAGTTGCACTACCTAATTGCTCTGTTTCATCAGTATTGCTTCTGCGTGCTTTCTGTCCCTCTTGCCACGCCCAAAGGTCTGATCTCTTCACTTCTACCCACATACACAGGGATCTCTCGAACAACGCTTTGACGGGCGCCATTCCCTACACCATCAACAATCTTAACTATCTCTCGAACTTGTACGAAGTACCTTTTCGTTTGTCTTGTCTGAATACGAAGCAACTTGTTTAGTCCTTGTGCCAAGCATGAAAAGAGTGGTAAGGACCTTAAGGGGGCTGCTTAAGGGGGATGTTTGTGTTGCTGGCATCAACACCCCATGCCACGGTTGTTTTTGTAACAAAGAAGTCCTTGATTGTTTTTCTTCATTTTTAGGGCCGAAATGAGCTGCATTACAATGATTGGCCATCATTTTGAATGAATGACCCTCCTTCCCTCTTCATTCTCGGTCTCCTTCATTCCAGGCTGTTCTTTTTTCATCGCCTATCAGGCATGTATATAGGAGTCACTTGATCAGAACCATTCCACCCTCCGTAGGGGCCTTACTCAGCTTGCAGAGCCTAAAATTCTCATGGCAACAATACCTAAGTATCCCAGCCAAGAACCGTAGGGCTATTTACACTACATAATGAGCTCTGTGTCATCAATATTGCTATTGTGTGCTTGCTGTCCCTTTGGTTATGCCCCCAAGTCTCATCTCTTCGCTTCTACCGACCTACCTTCCCACACACACAGAAATCTCTCGAACAACGCTTTGACGGGCTCCATTCCCGACAGCATAACCGGCCTTGGTTATCTCAACTATGTGTACGAAGCACCTTGTCTGTTGTCTATGCATCCATGCGAACCAACTTGTTTAGGGGCCCTGCTTAGCTTCCAGTAGACAACCAAATCCTACCTCCTGCGAATAATTGAAGAGCTGGATCCGCATCTGGCCGCCATGGATTCTGCCGATGCACCTCACTCGTTTGCTCTAAGAAGTCTATGGCCTACTCGCTACAACGTCGACAGTTTCGGAACCTGCTCACCTCCCAGTGTATCTACCTTGGTAACTCATCACCAAAAGTAGAAACAATGGTCTGTGTATTGTGATAATTTACTACTTAGACTGTCTACTTTCAGTGGCTTTTCATCGCATGATTCTCCAACTACTGCTGTCTACGAGTCCCCAGGCCCTTTGGGGCGCGTGTCTTTTGGCAAAACTTGACAGAGTTCGAGCCTGTTACCGCTTTGTATCGTGGCGAAACGTCTCTTAAATGTATCTTACCGTATACAACCACTTTGGAAGTTCGAACTTTGGCAAAAGTTCGACCTCAAGGACACTCTGTCTTCTCACAGATGCCGCCCAAGAGATCCCGGAAGGCGACAAAGGATGGGAAGAACGCTGCTGATCCGGTCAAGGAACTCTCGTCAGTCAACAACCCTGAGGCTGCCTCTTCAGGCCTCTTAGTGGACGCCAAGTACAAGTTGACAATGGATGCCGACGACTCTAACAATGAGTCCCAGGACAACTCGGACAACGAACCCGTCATCGGTTGCAAAAACAACGAGTTCTGCAAGCTGCAACATACTGCTATTCTGCTTATACCTTTCATTCGCTCGCAATTGCCTCGATTATTTCCACAACCCGTATAGGGGCGAGATGTTGTTGCGAGAGCTGGGTGGTAAGCAGCCTGCGGTGCTCGGCCTCAAGGCTCTAGCAGTTGTGCCAGATGTTTGGCAGAAAGCTCTCCTTGCCACAGCCAGCCCTCCTAAATCGGCTGCCTCTAAGCAGTGGCAGCTACCTTTCGTCTCAGAGGGGGCTATCATTCCTCTGAAGCATATGAGAACGTTTTGGCAAGACGGGCAGCCCTCATCAGCCAAGCAGCAAAAGAGGGAGGGCAGATGGAGTGGCAAGTTCAACTGGAAACGTACCATTGCTATTCGGGACTCACTGGCGAGTCCCAACCGTCGGAGGGGGGTCGTACTAAGGATCCACGGTCTGAATCTTCAAGTGGGTGAAGTGAAAGTGTGGCATTCCTCGCCAGTAAGGCGGTCTGCCCGTATGGTGGGGAGGACGAAACCCTGGAGCACTGCCTCTTCACCTTTCCGCGTATTTTAGTGGTCATCTAGGCCATCAACAGGGAACCCGTCATGCCACGTCTACTCGCTGGGAGACCTGCTTTTCAAGTGTGCTGGCACCAGCTCAGCTTTTCCAGAAGCCACCCTGTCAGCAATTGGACTGCACCAACTGTGGCTCAAGCGGTGCAAGGCGGATTTTCAGGTCAGAAGGTTTCAGGAACGCCGAGTCCTTAGAAAGATCGAGAGGGTGTTCTACTTGAATGTGAGGATCTACACTAGAACGTCGAATGGCAAAGGCCTGAAGTCACTGAAAGCAGGGCGGTGGGGAAAGTTTCTGAAACTGAGGGAGGAAGAGTAGCGGCTTCCTGGGAAGGTGAAGGTCGCTGACAGGAACAGGAAGTCCAATACCTTTGTGGCAGTTTGGTACATTCAAAGAGGGGTCGGGGCCCCTGTATAAGCACCCACTTTGGGGCGGCTCACGCCTGCTACACGTATAGTTACGACTGTCTTTGATTTTGTACACTTGCGTTCTCGGTGTATTCTATCAATGCTTAAAAGAAAAAAGAGGAAAGTACCTGGAAATATATTCGAAACAATCTTTGTACATTTCGTCCATGATTGACTTTGGGGTTGAGAACATTGAAAGAACCGTGTGTGTGTTTGCTGTCTCTCTGGCCATGCCCACGAGTATGATCTCTTCATTTCTACCGACCTACCTACCTTCACACACAGAGATCTCTCGAACAACAATTTGATGGGCTCCAACAGCATCTCCGTGCTTGGTGATATCAGATTTTACAACAACTATATCATTTATTTGTATGAAGCACCTTGTCTATTGTCCATGCCTCAATAGGAAGCAGCTTGTTTTGGTCTCTTGTTAAGCAAAATAGGAGTTGCAAGGACGTTGAAGGGACTGCTGAGAGACTTCAACTTGCATTCAAAGGGATGGTTGTGTTGTCGGCCACAACACCCCATGCCACAGTTGTTTCTTTGAACTAAATGGACCATTGAATGCTCCTTTTCGTTCATCCCAGCCTGTGGATTTTCATCACTTGAATGGAAGCATTCCGCCCTCTCTTCTTGGGGCTTTACTCAGGTTGCAGTGCCAAACAGTATCCTGCTAACAAATCTCTGGATCTCCCAGCCATGATTGGCTTTGGAGTTGACAATATTGAAGAAATGTATGGCTCGATGCACTACCTAATCAGCTCTGTTTAATCAATATCATTTTTTCGTGCTTGTTGCCTCTCTGGTCATGCCCACAAGTATCATCTCTTCACTTCTACTGACCTACCTACCCAACACAGGGATCTCTCGAAGAACGTTTTCACGGGCTCCATTCCAAACATCATCTCTTTGCTTACTAATCTCAATCATTTGTACGAAGCACCTATTTCTATTGACAATGCCTCGATACGAAGCAACATGTTTTTGCTTCGTGAAAGCATGAGAAGAGTGGTAAGGAGCTTAATGGGGCTCTTTAGGGACTTCAACGTGTGTTCAAAGAGATGGTTATGTTGCGGGCCACAACACCCCTTGCCAGAGTTGTTTCTGTAACCAAAAAGACCATTGCTTGCTTCTAAGAAACTCCATTGCAATCAAGGTGCCAAAAAACAACCATATTTTTGCTTCTGCTCCAAGATATCTTCTAGGTTTGTGCTATATATTTACCCATAATAGAATCTAAACATAAAAGAATCAAAACAAAAAAAAAACTAAAAACAAACAAACAATCAAACAAACAAACAAACACACACACACATACACACACACTCACACACACACTCACACACACATACACACACACACACACACACACACACACACACACACACAATTTTATTGCAATGACTGACCAGCTTTTTGGAACGCATGAACCTCCCTCTCTCTTCATTGCAAAACCATTCCGCCCTCTTTAGGGGCCTACTCAGGTTGCAGAGTCTAAAAGTATCATGGTAACAGTCTTTGGATATCCCAGCCATGATTGGGTTTGGGATTGACAACATTGAAAGAACCGTATGGCTAGTTGCACTACCTAATCAGCTCTATTTCATCAATATCGCTTGTGTGTGCTTGTTGTCCATCTGGCCATGCCCACAAGTCCCATCTCTTCACTTTTACGGACCTACCTACCCACACATACAGGGATCTCTCGAACAATGCTTTGACGGGCTCCATTCCCAACATCATTTCTTTGCTTACTGCTCTCAACAATTTGTATGAAGCGCCTATTTCTATTGTCAATTCCCCATTACGAAGCAACATGTTTAGGCCTCGGGCTAAGCATGAGAAGAGTGGTATGGACCTTGTGCGGGTTGCTTAGGGACTTATACTTGCGTTCAAAGGGATGGTTGTGTTGCCTGTCACAACACCCCATGCTGTAGTTGTTTTTGTAACCAAAAGTACACTCCATTGCAATGATTGGCCAGCATTTTGGAATGCATGAATCTCCCTCTCCCTTCATTCTCCTTCTCTTTCATCCCAGCCTGTAAGTTTTTATCGTCTGTCAAGCATGTAGATGGGAATCACTGAAATGGAACCATTCTCTCCTCTATAGGGGCCTTGCTCACCTTGCACTGCTTGAACGTATCTTGGTAGCAATCTCTGGATATCCCAGCCATGGTTGGCTTTGGTTTTTTTACAACATTGGAAGAACCGTGTGGCCAGTTGCACTACCTCATCCTCTTTGTTTCATTATTATCGCTTGTGTGTGCTTGCTGTTCCTCTAACTATGCCTATGACTTTCATTTCTTCACTTCTATGGACCTACCTGCCCACACACACAGGGATCTCTCGTACAACTCTTTGACGGGCTCTGTTCCCGGCAGCGTCTTCTTGCTTGCTGATCTCAGTTTTCTGTACGAATCACCTTGTCTGTTGTCAATTTCTCAATACGAAGCAAGCATGAGAAGAGTGGTAAGGACCTTGAGGGGGCTGTTAGTGTTAGCCCTGAATCTCAACATTTGTACTTGCACTTTTGATATCCTAGCGTAATGTAGTGTGCACTCTGTTGCTTGGGTGCACACACAAATCCCAACCAAACCCAAATGTGATCACCTGAAATCTCTAACCCACCAATTAGAGATTCCCGCCGATGCCCTTGGGATTGCCCCCCAAATCCCTCCCGATCACTTCCTTGCTCATTTCGGATGTACTTTAAGAGTATTGCTCATTACTAATCTATTAGTTCAAGCTCCACTTCTTACAAGGGCATCTTAAGGACTTCAACCTGCATTCAAAGGGATGGTTGTGTTGCATGTTACAGTTGTTTCGTAACAAAAAAAAACCTTTCATTGCTCCTATACATTTCTAGAGTTTAATCAAACTCCATGGCAATAATTTGCTAGCGTTTGGAGGCATGGCCCTCTGCCCCCTTTCATTCTCCTTCGTCTTCATCTTGAGCTGTTGTTCTTTATCATTTTCAGGAATGTGAATGGGAATCACCTGAATGGAACCATTTCGCCCTTTCTAAGCTTACTCAAGTTGAAGAGCCTGTAAGTATCATGGCAACAATTTCTGGATATTTCAGCCGTGATTAGGTACATCATCAGTTTTGTTTCATTGATATTGTTTCAATTTGATTTTCTGAATGGAAATGAACACATCTCTGACTTAGAAGTTATCTTAGTTTTGTAAAGTTGGTTGTCCAATTTTGGTCGAATAGAGCAGTTTTGTAGGAGAAATGTCAGTAAATCAGTGTCCTGCATTAGTTTGGGCATGTCTGTCTGTAGGGAGCAAGATGACACCATATTCACATCCATCTGCCCCCACTTGCGGCCTTCTTTGTGTGCATCCACCCACGTGATCCTTCTCTCCTTTTCCGTTTTCCACCGCCGAATCCTGCCAGTCACCTGTTTGTCGCTTTTCACCCTCCTTATGTCCCACTTAAACCCACCACTGTTCCCATTTTTATGCTAAGTTTGTAAGGTCAAGGTCCGTGCAGCTGTGCCCACGAATTCCGCATTTTTATCTCCCTTATATCCTATTGCAGCAACGTCACTGGCACAAACCTCACGTGCCCACCTGACAACACCGACTGTGGTACAACACAAAATGCGAGAACAGCCTTTTGCCAGACGTGTGAATCCTTTTGTAGGACTTGCGGCAAACCTGCAGGCAAGTGATTGAAGCAAAGTTCTACTAGAGCAGTACAACGTTGATGATGGTAGAGTTTTATAGAGTATGAGAGGCATGACACAAAACATGACACAAGGCAAAGCTGTCTCCCTGGAGAACCGAAAGGTAACGTCGAACCACTGTATGGGGCTATGGTATTGCACTGATTCTCTGTACTCTCATTTTGAGCACTGCCCCTTTTCACTGTCTTGAAGCTTTTCGTGGTGAAAAGGTTGCTTTAATCCCCAGAGAGTTGTTCTTTGCTTGTGTAGAGCAGGCCCAATCGCAACGAACAGCAGCAGCAGCAGCAGCAGCAGCAGCAGCAGCACCACCACCACCACCACCACCAATGGCGGCAGCAGCAGCAGCAGCAACGGTAACAGCAGCAACGGCAGTGAGTCTACTTCACCAGCAGCATCTGGAGGTGGAGGTGGACTGTCAATGGGAGCCATCATTGGCATTTCTGTGGCCGCTGTCATCATTCTCCTACTTCTGGGAACCACACTGCTCTACTTGAGGCATCAGCAGCAACAGGAGCCAAAAGGTACGAAGATAAAGCAACAGGAAGGAGTAGACTCTGGATGACCAGTCTCATTAGTGCAGCTATATGCGGCTGTAGCTTCATGTTCGTGTGATAAGTGAGCGAGGAGCAAGGTGCTCAATGCAGGAACGTACGTAGCAAGCATGCAAATTTGCAAGTATAGTCACGAATCATGCCTTCTGTCCAGTTGAACCTTCTTTCTTTCGTGTGTGTGTGTGTGTGTATGTGTGTGTGTGTGTGTGTGTGTGTGCGTGTGTGTGTGTGTGTGTGTGTGTGACTCCATCAATTATATTCATGCCGGAAGGACTGCTCGATCGCTTGTCTTGACCTGAGCTGGGGCGACTTGCCACGAGGACATGCGGTCAATTTCATGCCTTCACCCCTCCTAGACTTTTGTATCTATTCTACTGGACGAGATCTGAGGCTATTCAATATTCAAGACTGGAAAGAATTGGGAGTCACTCTTGAGAATTCTCAAAAGTAACTCCAAAACTTCTATATCAATCTTTTTGGACGTAACCTTAGGTTATTCACTTTTCAAGCTTGGAACCTTAGTATGGTAAAGGCATGTATACCATAAGTACATGTCAAGTCCTCCATGACCCAATAGTTTGTGCAAGTCAAGGCAAGCACCAGTCCGACTAGACTGGAATCCGCAGAGGAGTCTGTTGGAAGCCCACTCAGCTGTACTCAACTTGCACGTACCTCCTTTCCTTTCACCCCATGAGTGGCACCATGAGCAGGCGCGGGTGGCAGCCTGGCAGCCTCCCATTGCACCGAGTTTTCGCTGGCAGAGGTCCTCAAGGCCACCAATAACTGGTCGCAGGACCACCATCTGGGCTCCGGTTCCTTTGGCGATGTGTACAAGGGCGTGTCTCCCCGCGATGGCACCACAGTGTGGGCTGTAAAGCGCGCCAGGCTCATGGTCGTTGGCTTCCAGAAGGAGGTCAGTGAGCCATGGTAATGCACACAAGTGGCATTTGTCGCTGCCATGGTATCTTTTGCCATTCCAATTATACATTGTTCCGTGTTTGACGATTCCCTTCTTTTTAATTCAGAGTCTTATCTCAGCAGATTTTGCAGGCATGCGTAAAAGAAACCAACTTTCCAGATTTTGGAGCCTGGGCTACTATTTTTGTGTGCTCTGCTTCTCGACCTGTTCCATTTCTCCCTGCTTTAAATGTTTCTCTCTGGCTGTGATGATCAGATTGAGCAGATGGCCGACAAGAACCACCCCAACATTGTGAGGCTTCTTGGCTTTGCGATTGGAGGGGATCTGAGATCTCGGCCAGAGCAAGTTCTGATCTATGAATACGTGCCCAACTGCGATCTTCAGAAATGGATTGATCCAAGTATGTGCGGCACTCCCCCAGTGCGTGTTCCGTTGTGCCACCTACATGCTCTGCCACTCACATGCTCTGCCGCTCATACTGTGTATCCTTGCAGAGGCAGAACGTCCTCTGAATCTGAAGCAGCGGCTGGACATTCTCATCGGCATGGCACGGGGCTTTGAGTACCTCCATGGCTTTGGCATCGTGCATCGCGACATCAAGCCTGCCAACGTCCTCATCACCAACAGCATGCAGGCAAGAGTGGTTACATCACGCACTGCTTTGTTCTGTTCCCAAAGTTTCTTTGGCAGTCGGAATCAGAACCTTGGGAGAAATAATGATACAAAATGGGAGAATTCGCAGAGGAAGATGGAACTTAGTGTCACTTAATCGATGCCAAGCTGATTCGTGTATTTATTTTATTGATGTGTTGAAGCTTAGACCAGGCAGTGGTACATCACACCCGGTATGTTTGCCATTGTCATATCTATTGGTTTTTTCCTGAATCACTTGTTCCTTGCGACAACCATTCGTTAAGCCTTGCTAACACATATTTACTTTGCGATGAGAGTTCTTTCCGTGGCAAACATCCTGCCACCACATATGTGCATCCTTGATTCCCAGAAAATCTTCTTCAAGCGTTTGTACTTCTGGGGTCTCTTGCCAACATGTCTCTCAACGCACCCACCAGGCCAAGATTGCAGACTTTGGGCTGGTGAGGATGGGAGAGGGCACGACTGTCGGTACGACTCGCATCGTGGGCACACCGGGCTATGTGGATCCTGTCTACTCCCGAACGTCCAAGGCAACTGCAGCCAGCGATGTGTACAGGTGAAGTAGTGATGTGTACAGGTGAAGTAGTGATTAAGGGTGTAAAAAAGAATGCAGATTCGAATACGGTTATCTAAAACGAATATTTGTCGAATACCTGGCTGTATTTGTATTTGTTCGAATACCTGTCCCTCCACGAATTCGAATACGATTCGAATACATGGTGTGTCGAATACGGTTTCGAATAGCATATTGTAGCTCAAACAAGGGTCTCATGATTCACGGTGGGGCTTAAATGCATACTGAAGTATCATTCACACTCTTTAACTCATTGGCCCCTTGCTCAGTTAGCATGGCTCTGACGGCCGTTCTGTAGAGTCCTTTGTATTGTTAACTCAAGATTTCGTGAACAATAGCGGCTGGTTTGAGTAGTTCAGTAACTTAAGAACGAATCGAATATGTATTCGAATAACCGGTTATCTAAACCGAATACTCGAATACTTGAACGTCGAATACTTTCGAATAATAAGGGGCATTTGTATTTGATTTGTATTTGATATTTGTCGAATATCGAATAATAATACGAATACAGTGGTATTTGTTTACACCCTTAGTAGTGATGTGTACAGGTGAAGTAGTGATGTGTACAGGTGAAGTAGTGATGTGTACAGGTGAAGTAGTGATGTGTACAGGTGAAGTAGTGATGTGTACAGGTGAAGTAGTGATGTGTACAGGTGAAGTAGTGATGTGTACAGGTGAAGTAGTGATGTGTACAGGTGAAGTAGTGATGTGTACAGGTGAAGTAGTGATGTGTACAGGTGAAGTAGTGATGTGTACAGGTGATCATTGCAGGAGCCGTTAGATGAGGCAGTGTTGTGTAAAGGTGATCATTTCAGGACGTGTCAAAGAGTGTGGGCACAACTTGCGTCATGGGTTACGTAGATCCTGTTTACTCCAGAATGTCCGAGGCAACTGCAGCCAGCAATGTGTACAGGTGAGGCAAGAGGCATTACAGACAAGGCCACACAAGGAGACGCAGAAAGAATTCCTACAAGTTGATGGTGACTGACGAGACCAAACCTCATTGTTGTCTGGTCGTGTTCTTTGTGGGTGTGATGGGCGTGATGGGCGTGATGAGCGTGATGGCATTATGGCTCAGTCGGCCATACAATGATCTGTCAACAGCTAAACTGCTAGCATTCTATGTCTTTAAACATGTGTGTTGTTTTCCAGCTTTGGAGTTCTCATGTTGGTGGTGCTCACCAGACAGGCCCCTCTCTCAGAGACTGCGGGAAAGAGCTGGCAGATCATCCCATGGGTAAGGATTTTGTGACTTCCAAAGGTACTTTCAGTAACTACCATGACCACCTTTCTGCAGTGTGTCATGATTTGACGCAGTGAAGCAACTCAGATCCCTTACCATATTTGATGGGTCGACTCATGAACTCTCTCTACCCAATTCGTGATCTCTCCCATCCCCCTCCGTTTGTGATCTCTCCCATCCCCCTCCGTTTGTGATCTCTCCCATCCCCCTCCGTTTGTGATCTCTCCCATCCCCCTCCGTTTGTGATCTCCCACATCTCCCTCCGTGTGTACTTTCTTCCTTTCAGGCATCTGAGTGCGTGAACTCGGGTGAGCTGGGGAGCCTCAGGGACCCCAACCTGGATGCCCCTGCGGATGCTGTGCTCCGTGTGGCTCAGCTCGCCCTCAGCTGCACCGTGGAGTGCACTGCAGCTCGCCCAAGCATGGCAGAAATCGCCAATCAGCTGCAGGCTATCCGGGATGAAGTGGTGGGGAAAGAGGAGCTGAGGGCGGCTGTCAAGGTGGATTCTCAAGTTCAGGAGATGAAGGAAGCTTTCGTGGGTATTGAGGGCCCCGAAACAGAAATCCAGATGATGGGGGACAGCTTTGCTGAGGAAAACCCGGTGTGAAGAATGGGGAGAGGAAAGCTCTAAGCAGCACACCCACAAGTGATGGTGTTTAGTAGCGTTTTCCGATCGACTGTTGCTGAGTGTGGCATGGACGGCCACTACATCTGTTTGAATCTCTTTGGGATGATTAGGTTCTGCAGGGTTTCCTTGGGACGTGAATGGTACCGTATATGGAGAGGATGCCGTGTTGTCGGAGGCTATGGATCAAAAGCACCAGGACCAACATGGTGAAAGTAGTGATGGCTTTCTGTATCATGCTCTTGGCTGATCCATGCGCTTGTCTTCTTACAATCTAAGGTTCTCATCTATTCCATCTAACGTATCTCAAAAGCTTGTGAAATTTGCTCGGAATCGGAATCCAAAAGGTGCTAGGACGCCCTAGAGTGCTGGGACGCCCAAAAGCCCTGCTATGTGAAATAGGGAGCACACATTGAGAGAACCCCTTCACAAAAGCAATGAGAGGTTGTTTGCAACGAAGCAGAGGTGGTGAACAACAACTCAATAATCTATCATGCAGGGGGCATGTGCAGCTGCCTCTAGGTCGACAACCCTTTTGGTTGAAGGCATGTGCGTTGTTCTCAAACGTTTGAGCTTTGTTGAGCGGGCCATATGCTCACCACACACACGTTGCAGTTTTATCGGAGGGTAGTTATCCCTTTCTCTCTGTTAACAACATTCATTATACAATTGAAAGTGAGGACATCCAAAAGCAGATTACGGTAAAACTAATTATCCTTGGTCTAAGTAGCATGCTGGCTGGCTGAGACGGAATATTGGTTGAAGGACCCAGCGGATGTGAAAATCCTCAAATAAGGCCTGGCCAAGCCATTGGTGGAAGGGAGAGAGTGCGGAAACAGAGGACGGGAAGGATTGGTGGGTGTAGGAATACGTACTACTGGTAAGGCTTGCTCAAGAAGGTTTGGGTAGTGGAAGGGGATTGGAAAGAAAGAGTGTCACATGCAAACACCAGAATCTTTTTTCCTTCGTCCAGTACATTCAGGAAGCATGTAAAAAAAGCCCTGTATCGCAAAAGACTAGACACAGTGCACTGGAAACGTCTGTTATTTGAGTGTAATGCGGGGCAGAGTGGTACACTTCCTTTGGACATGTTAAGGTCCAAATGTACACACACTTATGATTATATAAGGGTAGTAATTATGATCCCTTTCTCGCCGGTAACAGCATCCAGTAACGAATGAAAGTGAGGACAGGGCATCCAGAAACAGGTTCCCATACTCTCGTCCTTGTTATTTATGGTCAGGCATTTCCTTGGTCTAAGTAGCATGCTGGCCGGTTAAGATTCAATATTGGTTGAGAGTGTCCAACCTCTGGAGCGTGTGGGGAGGAGTGAGAGGAGGCGAAGAGGGGGACGTGGAAGATATGGGCAGTGCAGGTGCTGCTGGCGAGAGCAAGAGAGGGAGGGGGGGATCCTGGCGGGAAGAGGGATGCGGGCAGAGAGGGATCCTAGCGGGGAGAAGGCGAGGGAGAAAATAGAAGCGGAATAGGCGGCTTTTCTGAAAGAGAACTGCTGGTGACAGCAGTGAAAAGGAGTGAAAAAGGCGGAAAGGGATGGGAAGGGGTGTAGGTGTGGTTGGACGGAAAATAATGATGGTGCTGGTGCTGCTGGTGAGGGCAGGAGAGGGAGGGAGGGATCCTGGCGGGGAGAAGGAGACAGAGAAGATAGAAGCGAGGTGGACGCCTCTTTTGAAAGAGAAAAAACCCTGTCTGATCAGAAGCTCACCTGACCTGACGACGTAACACCTGTCCAATCAGAAGCTCATCTGACCAAACTAAGTGGCGAAATACGCGTATAGCGTATATACGCGTGTCGTATATACGCATGCGTTTATACGCTATACGCTAAGGTCCCGAATCCAGGAATACGCTTTTTCGGGCAGGGTAAAAAAAACCCAGGCAGGGTGAAAAAAACACCCTAGGTATAGTTCACAGGGGCGATTCACGGAGGTTGTGTCTCAGGTTCATTTTTTCCCCTATGACGCGAAATGCTTAAAGATTTCGTGCTCAACATCGGGAAGTTACTTCCCTAGTCTCACAAAGAGGACGTGCCCTATCGTTATCTTGCGTGGGATCGGGTGGCGGGTTGGGAACAGTAGACATTGATTGCGTTTTGGACTAGGAGTGAGTGACTAGGTGAGTACGACGAAGTAGATCTGACGAGAAACGATGTGTTGGAGGGGACGTAGTGGAAAGGTTGGAGTTCGTAGATTGGGTTCGGTTCCAAAAGGTGGAACCCTGAAATTCGAAATTGCAACTCCAACCTGAATCCAAACATTGAAGTGACATTCCCGCTACCATAGATCTCCGATGCGCATTTCGACCGCCGCGAAATGATCGCCGTGAAAAACGGCAGATTTCTTTATATTCCTGAAAATTTTCACCTTGGGCTGCCCAGAAAAAAACTCCCGAGCGTGTTGCGTATTTGCTAGCGTATTGCGTTTTGCGTGTATACGCAAGCGGATAAACGCTATACGCTTAAAGGCAAAAGCGTTTTTCGCCACTTAGTGACCAAACACCTGTCCGATCCAAAGCTCACCTGACCAAACACCTGTCCGATCAAAAGCTCACCTGACCAAACACCTGTCCGATCAAAAGCTCACCTGACCAAACACCTGTCCGATCAAAAGCTCACCTGACCAAACACCTGTCCGATCAAAAGCTCACCTGACCAAACACCTGTCCGATCAAAAGCTCACCTGACCAAATACCTGCCCGATCAGAAGCTCACCTGACCGAGGGGAGTGAGAGAGGAGGGAGCGGAGGGAAGAGCGTGTGTGTGTGAGAGATTGTCCAGGTGGTGAGTGAGAGGAGAATGAGCAGCGGATGAGGAGGAGGCGGGGGACGTGGAGGGAGACGGTTGGAAGGCTGGATGGGCGATGGAAACAAAGTGCAGCTCCCGAAGTGACATGACAGGTGCAGCTGGAGAAGGATCGGAACAGAGGGAGGGGGATGGGGACAGAGGGCAGTGGATCGAAACAGAGGGGAGAGGGATGGGGACAGAGGGATGGGGATGGGAATGCGGAGAATCACTCTACAGTGGTCGTGATCAAGACTACGGGGTGTTGGCACGAACACCTATGAGTGATCGTAGCTTTGCTTGGTTCCTTAACACTTGCGCATTCACGAGAGAGATTGGCAAGAGTTTCACTAACAAAGTTGAAATTACAGAATGATTGAACAAACAAGCAATGACAAAAATGACTACATCAGGCACCTAGCAACTCCGCAGCTAGCCTGGTCGACCGCTTGCCAGCGTTGCGTAGAGGAGCCGCGCCAGCAATGCAGAAAGGCGACCTGCCAACACAGCAGGTCGACGACGTGCCAACTCTGCAGCATCGCCGCTGTCCAGCGTTGCACCCATAGATGGCAGCAGTGCGCACGCTCGCAGGTGCGCGACGAGCCACATCGACTTCGGGGTACCAGCCCGAAGTCACCTTCGTCACTGCGACCTTAACGACGTTCGCGTGCCTCCGTAGAACTCGCCGACGAGGTGCTTCTGGTCAATCATCAGATGCCCTTGGTCGACCACAGCTCCCGTCGAGCTACCCCCTGGTTGCAGCCCCCTTCCATCGACCAGAACTGTCAGCTGTTGTCGCCGAGCTCCCCTCGTCGACCGCTGCTCACTTGTCAGGTCGACGGACCGCTCCGGCGACCTCCCGGTCCAACGGTTCCTCCTGGTCGACGGGCCACCTGTCGCCCAGCCCAGTCAGCCGCAGCTTTTGAGCTCCCTGGTCGACGGCTCCAGCCCCGTGACAATCACTGCCACGCTGCCGACGCAGGGGAACCGGCGGCCAACTTCAACCCAATGGTCGACGAGGAGGGACGTCGACCTCAGAGGGCGTTGACTTGGTGACGCCGACCTGAGAAACCGCTCCAGGTGCAGTTGGCGACCACTAGGTCTGGTCGACCAGAAGTGGTCGACCTGGGGGGGTGGCCGACTTCGTGAGGGAGGCAAGGGGTGGTCGTCGACCTAGGTGGTCGACAGGCACAAGAGCAGCACTTGGTCGTCGAGCACTTCAGGTCGACGGCAACACTACAGTGAACCCCTACAGCTCGACGAAGCCCGTCGAGCAGCTCTTTCACTGCGAACGGTCGGCTGCTTCTGAAGAAGCTGGGGATGGGAACAGAGGGAGGGGGATGGGGACAGAGGGAGGGGGGTGGCGGGAGGTGGAAGGCTGGATAAGCGATGGAAGCAGGGTGCAGCTCTCGAGGGGATAAATGCTGCTGGAGGGGGCGGGGGGATGGAGGGATGGAAAATGGGAGGTTGGCGGTTAGGGGGTTGGACGAGACGAGAGTGAGAGGAGGCACGAAAGGGAAGGTTGGATGGGCGATGAAGGCTGGATTCAACTCCGAGGCGACACGTGCGGCTGCAGGGCGAGGGGCAGATGAAGGGATGGAAAAAGGGAGGTCGATAGTTAGGGGGGTTGGGATGGGAAGGCTGGATGAGCGATGGAAGCTAGGTGTAACTCCGTGGCAACAGGCACGGCTGCAGGCGGGGGGGTCGAGAGAGCAGGGGATGTGATGGAGGGGAGATGATTGAGGGGAGTGAGGATGGGAAACTGGGGGTTGGCGCTTAGGGGGGATGAGTGAGATGAGAATGACAGGGAAGGGAGGGGAGGGGGAGGTAGTTGGAATGGAATGTTGGAGGAAGGGGCTATGGAAGCTAGATGCAGCTCTCAAGGCAATAGGTGGCCTGAAGAGGGATGGGGATGGAGGGATGGGGACGGAGGGAGGGGGGATGGAGGGGGGGTGGGTGGGATGACGACTGATGGCATGGCAGGCAGCACGGATATGATATGAACCGTGCCCATGTTGCGCCATCGAGCTAACTAAAAGGTGAGAAAGATCAAACGTCTCAAGAGTACTCAGGGGCTTTCAGGGATGCAACAGAAGTGATGAGGAAGGGCGGTGGCACCAAGGGACGTGAAGGGAAGGATGAGAAAGAGTTATCGTGTCTCCCGTGCCAACGAATGCGACCAATG